ATTAATATGTTCATAAGATATGTTTATCTTATGGTTGTGTTTCATAAGATGTGAGTTCTTACGGTATGACAGGTGAGTCATAGGATATGTGCCAGGATGGAAATAAGAAGTTTTTGTGAGTTAGACTTGTCTATTTCTGGAAGTGTGAGAATAGAAGTTCTATGTGAGTTAGAACTGTTTATATTTACCTATTGACTCGAGTGGAACACCGTGTGTGATTGGATTTTTTTGGATGGCCTAGTGATTGGTCATGGTTTTGATGATATTCCAGAATAGAGAATGTCATGGTGATACCACGGGAAGTAGGTTTTGTTAACAAGTGCTGATAATGCACATTATGAATTGATTGCGCAGGGAATGTGAGTTTCTTTGCATATAATTTCAGGTACAAGATTCTCTCCAGGGGATAGTGGGTTCCCTACATGCCGATAGCTTGACGGACTGTGTGTTTGGAGAGTGGGAGGGGCATGGAGCATATCGATAACCTGATGGACGGCGGTCCTGAAGGTGGGAGGGGTATGATACACCAAGGGCTCAAAGGGTGACGACCCTGAGAGTGGGAGAGGTGTATATGTATGAGTGAACAATTAATGTCCGAATATGATTCATAAGTATGAGACTAGATGGGAGCCTCAAGGATCGGTGGATGATCTCAAGGATCGGTGGATGATCTCAGGTGGTGCTGGCCGGGTTTTGGTTAGGGGGTTACCATAGTGAAATGGTGTTGTGTGATTCGAGGTCAAATCCGTGTTAGTGGGGGAGAATTGTAATGACCATGAACCAAACTTTATGATTTTTTATCGTGTGTCAGTCGGCGCAACATAGAATTGAACCGGATTGGTTCGATTTTAATCGTTTGTTTCTACATGTTAGTTAGCGGAACCCTAACCCTAGGGTTCGAGTATAAATAAGTGGTTGCTTGTTTTTGGTCGTCTTTAGTTTCTAAAAGTTACATGAAGTTTCCAGAGAGTTTGAGAGAGGATTTGAGAGAAAAGGAAGAATCATTGTTGATTTGTTCGTGTTCTTGATCCTGAAAGCTCGTGGTGGGGTTTGTGGGGGCATTGGGAATCGTTTTTGGTTTTGGTTCTTGCAATTTAGGGGAGGATTTCAGATTCGAGATCCTTGTTCTTCGTGTTCATCGCATTCTTCATAGTTTTCTCATCCTTTTCCTTCCAGGTCCAAGGTGAGTGCGTGACCATGGCTTATTTGGGTAGAAGAATGAATCCCAATGCATTTGTGTGATGAATTGATGATCGATTCTCATTGATATGGATGATTTCGTGTTATTGGATGAGTTTGTTGACGGTTTCTGTGCAGGACATCGACTCAAGGCAAAGCAAAATCGAACCAGAGAAGAGAAGGTTTGATCATACGTTTCTGCGTTGTTCCTTCGATCGACACCATTGCTTGGTGTCGATAGACTTACAGTGCGTCGATTGAGACCGAGGTTATGTGTCGATCGATGCCGTCTGTTTGACGTATTAATTGA